CTACATGCCCCAACGGAGGCTAAGAAGCAGAAAGGGAGAAACAGTCCGCTGTGATGGCATCCGATTATATAAGCATAAAATCCACCATTTAGGCAAAGCTGCTGTAGGGACTGCATGTGTTAAAGCCACTTTTACTAACAGAATTCATTTTTTATTCCATGTCTGTGAAGAAAAAAGTATTTTTTAATTCAGTCTGAACTTTGACAAGTTACTATCTTTAAAATAGACACAGTAAAACACAAAGACTTTGTACAAACTGTCACCCTCTAATTTCTCAATCTGTATTTTAATGATAGGGAAAACAGAACACTGTGGATTGCTTTTCTGCAAATTATCACAGAAATTAGGATGTTATGCCATATAGTGTGCTGCAATCATTAAAGCTTTTTTATGTTTCGTTATTACTGATACTTTATAAATATTCTCGTATACAAATATACCATAGTACATTTGATAAAAATAAGCACTAATTGCAGAAGGCTCTTGCTTCAGCCTTTCAACAGCGAAATACCAAATGTGTTCATTCACATTCAGTGATGATTTTGGAGACATTCACATTTTTGTTCATGAATTTGAACCATTCTGAGCACTGTATAGTGCAGCTTGATTCAGAAAAAGGATTTTTGTCTCTGCATTCATCTTGATTATGGCCACTGAAACTAATGTGGAGTTTTCAGGTTTGACTGCAAGGCTAGGGTAATTATCACTGAGGATATTAAAAGTCAATCTGGTTTGATTTTAAGTGGTTTTTTGCAAGATGACATTACTAATGCGATTGTAGTGCTTCATATTTACATTCGTAATTCTGACCCCTGCAACTCTTCCCTTCCACTTAATGGTACTGAATGAGCATTATATTCCACAGCATCAAGAACCACACCATTTTCCTACTCCTACCCATCTACAGATGGCTTTATTTTCTTCTATTAAGATGTAAATTAGTTCTTATGAATTTATGTGGATCTTTTTTCCATCTGCACAAATAGAAAATACTGGTTTAAGAGTATATCTTACCTTTACGGCCAGCGTGATATCAGCATATGCACAAAATCCTCCACCTTTGTCACTTGAACAGTGATGAAAACCACCCCCTAAACATAAAAATGTTGAAGAGGTGAAAAGCTAGATGATAAGGAACATAGACAGTCTTTGCAAAGAGACAGAGATCACTTACGTGTCAGGTACTTTTTTTCTTTAGCAAATACTGCGCCTAGAGCTGTTAAACCCTTACCTAGCAACACAAACCATCTCACAGGGTTTCTGTCCATGTCTTACATGTGGCCTACCTGCAAAGGGTCAGGCAAAGGATCTGCAGGCGTCCAGATTAAAGGGAATTGTCCCTTTCATCCAGCAACCTCCCAAAGATCTGGGAAACGTACCCATGTAACACACGGTGCCTCCACGACAGAGCGTGCGGCTTTGAACACTCAGCTCCCCAGGCGTGCTGGAGCCGCGTAACTACCGTTATAGGGCAGGTGGAAAGGACGCGTGGAAAGTTCTCTTCTATGCTGAACATCAGGTCAGAAAAAATACCAAACTGAGAACTATGGTGTTATCATTACCTGCACGTGCCATTGCCCTTTGCAAACGCTCGGACCAGAAGAAACTTTAAAAACTCCTCTTTAAAACACAAACATACGCAGCCTTTGCATGAAAACAGTACGTAGTCCTCCCCCTCCCAAAAATATATTTTTTTATATAATAAACCAGAACTTTGTACTGAGAAACCCACTACAAATACCTAAGCAAGAAACTTTACAAGCTCCCTTTACATATCAGTAAATATGACAGGCTTTTCAGTTTGTTTTTAATGTCTATTTAATTTTTAATATTCGATATTCACTTTGTAGACGATGTGTGTAAAAAATAATGGAAAAACCCCAAAACTGATGAGCTCTATGAAAATGACACACAGGGTTTTACACGACACAAAATACTGCTTCAATAGTTTACTGGTTTTGCATTGCTATTTGCTATGAGCAAGAGAGCAGATTTACATTCGCTATATTCTTCATAATTCATTCATTCAAGCCTTTTGCAGGAAAAACTGCACAGCCCAAAATTGACACTAGCTGGTACAGCCCTGCTGTCCAGCACATCAACCAACCCCTTTATTTGGTATAAATTAGCTGACGATAAGATCTATGAAAATTATTTTATAATTTAACAAAAACAAATATTTTATTGCAATATTTACATTTACTCCAAACATTCTTTCCTTAAGATTTTCCACACTACTTCAAACACTTTTCCTTCTATATGACATTATATCTTTTATCCAGTTTTCTTTTTTTCTTTCAAAAAATATTTTATTTACTTAAACTGCAATAAGAACGATAGTGGATGAAAAAACAAATCCAGTACTTCAATTTTTTTTTTCCTTTAGCCTTTATTTTAGTTAAACACAATCCAGCCACTTTCTGTTATTATAAACAGAATACACATCATGTTAAATGAAAATAATACCATTTTTAAAACAGTTTCAAGTATCGTTTAATGCACTACGTTCGTACTTACCCACATTGATCGCCCAGCCTCTATCAACAGCAAGTTTTCCTGCCTTAAGAAAATGACAGCGAGAACTTTGTGAATGCACGAGGAAACCATCTAACACTGCCTGCTTCCACCCCAAACGCAACTCTTGACGTTCTGACCTGCCCATGGAGTTTTCGGATGTTTTACCACTGCGGGTGGTTCTGAATCGGATCTCTGAATACCAACCATACAAAACTATCCTCAGCGTAATTAGTTGGGGGAAAAAAAAAAAAATGATCTCTCAACCGTATTTTATTTTCTGGCAGTCGAACAGATCTAAAACTAACTTGTGCTTTGCAGAGATGAACACCGACCCCTAGCAGACAAATGAAAAAGGGAACGTGGAAGTGTTGGTGATCGCAAAAAAATGAGTAAATCCTCTCCAAATATCCTTCCCGTTCATGTAAAAATAGGAGGAATGAAAGCTCAGAATTGTGAAACTACAGGTTAACATAGTTTCAACTGGGGGTGGGGACAGAAAAAGCCACAGTATAAAGTGTCCTGTGACTACTTTTATTTTTTAAATGAAATACCATGCATAGTATAGAATATTACCATCTTTTTCCCTCCAATATAGGAAAACTGTGCCTGTATCTCTCCCTTTGAACTCAAATGAAGGGAAGGGAAAGTACTAATAAAGAAGGGATACACGAGGCTTAAATGAAGAAATTTTAATGAGAAAACCTGACTTATTTTGGTCAGGAAGAATCAAGCAAGTGTTAAACTGCAGTATTCCTTAAGTGTCATGTTGAAAAAAAAAAAAAAGAGAGATTACTAGCTGTATTTTAAAAAAAGAAAATAAAAATAGGAAAAAAGTAGTAAAAACAGATTATTTCTTTCCACAATCACAGAAAGAACATATTACACATCATATATGAAAGGAAGTTTGGACAGTTTCATCAACAATATTTATATTTGAACAGTTCTAATTTAGTATTAAGAAAACTACTGGGAAGGTAAACATCATTCTGTTATGAACACACTAACTTACACAAATTAGATCTCAAGAAAAGACTGTAGTTTCTGAACTATAAAACCCATTAAGTCAGGGAAAGCACATTATCTGTGATTTAGCATACTTCCTAGGGATTCCTCACCAAAAACCAATCTTCTCATATTGCTAAAAAAAATCATTAAAAAGTACAGAAAATCAACAGGAATTTTCGTGATAAACAGGACCATCAGGAATAGCAGCAGATTGTCTGCACTTCTGACTTCTACTGTACAAATTTTATTGTGTGATGAATCAAAACCTCTTTTAAAGTATGTACCTATTTCCCCATAATGAAAAATAAAAAAGGTAAAAATAACAGCACATGGCATCAAGATCAATCCAAAAGTGAACAGTGATGTCATCTGCGTTTCAGGAGGCATGATACAAAGACATACTAGACAACTAGTGGCTCTCTCTTCTATGTGACCACATTTACAACTAGCGAACACACACGTATGAAATAAAGATAACACAAGCACAATGAAAAACATTACAAAACCATATAAAAGTATTGCCTAGTTAGAACCAAGTCAAAACAGATTTCACACACGCATACTGTCAAGACCCTCAAGAAATACCAAAGGTAGAATATTAAGAAATTCCAGACTCTTCCCAATTATTTTTCTCTTCTACTATTTCCTTCGTTCCTCATTACTACTGTGCAGAAAGGCAGCGTGGCTGTAACAAGAGAAGATTCTGCATGTTCCTATTCAGACCAAAAACCCTCACCTCAGCAACCACTACTGACTGCAGCCAGAAACATGAGAGAAGAACGAACTGACCAAGAGTCTGAAGGGATGCTGAAGAGCTAAATGGAGACAGAATGGAGCTGCCTCTTTGTCTGTGAGTGACAACCAAAACTTTCTAAGCACCTTGACCTGTATGAACCACATGAATCCAGAATTCTTTCTCTCTACTACTACCTAGCCTATAATATAAGGTTTAAAAAAAGTCAAACTACCCCCATATTTCCCAGCAGTCCATTGAAAGCAAGATGACTACACAGATAGCACCAGACTGGTTTTGCTGGTATCTCCAGCTCCTGCTGGTAAATGGCCAGGAGAAAATGTTCCAGGTGGTTTATGCAGGCTCGCACGAGGGACATGCACCGTACTCCACTTCTGTCATCTCCACTTTTGCCAGTTAACACCTACAGAGGCAGCACTTTTTGTTACCTAGCCTATTACCGTAACCCAGTAAGTCTAAAGTTTTATCCAGAACCTAGCATGTTCTTTCCAAACTCACACTTAAATTGTCCTTAAGGGTTGGTTTAACATTTTCAGTACTTTATCTGGTTTTCTCATGCAGACTTTTAGGCTTCAATGAAAGGATCAGACATTGCTACACTGTAGAAACACTTTCACATATTGCCTTGCCTCACTATTATTTGACTTTAAATAACACGTACATCCAAAAAAACAGAGCAACACAAGAGAATTAGGAGAAGTAATAAGTAGAATCAGGAAACGGGATTTAAGAGGTGAAAACAATAATACTTGGAGAAACAGAATCCAAAGTGGGCAATGAGGATCCTGGGAACTATGGACCCATCAGCCTCACCTCTGTGCCTGGGAAGATCATGGAGCAGATCCTCCTAGAAGCTATGCTAAGGCACATGAGGACAGGGAGGTGATTCGAGACAGCCAGCATGGTTTCACCAAGGGCAAGTCCTGCCAGACCAACCTCGTGGCCTTCCCTGGAGTGACTGGTGTCAGTGAACAAGGGAAGAGCTACGGATGTTATGTCCCAGGGCTTCCGTAAGGCCTTTGACACGGTCCCCTGCAACATCCTTCTCTCTAAACTGGAAAGATACAGATCTGATGGATGGACTGTTTGGTGGATGAGGAATTGGCTGGATAATCGCTCCCAGAGGGTAGTGGTCAACAGCTCAATGTCCAGAGGGAGCTTGGTGATTAGTGGTGTCCTTCAGGGGTCCGTAGAGGCAGCACTACTGATTAATATCTTCATCAGTGACACAGAGAGTGGGATCGAGTGCACCCTCAGCAAGTCTGCAGATGACACCAAGCCAAGCGGTGCGGTTGACACATCTGAGGGACAGGATGCCATCCAGACAAACCTAGACAAGCTCCAGGAATGGGCCCCTGTGAACCTCATGAGGTTCAACAAGGCCAAGTGCAGGATCCTGCACCCGGATTGGGGATACCCCCGGTATCAGCACAGGCTGGAGGATGAAGGGATAGAGAGCAGCCCCGTGGAGAAGGACCTGGAGGTACTGGTGGATGAAAAGCTGGACATGAGCTGGCAATGTGCGTGCACAGCCCAGAAGGCCAACCGTGTCCTGGGCTGCCCCCAACGCCGCGTGGCCAGCAGGGCAAGGGAGGGGGTTCTGCCCCTCTGCCCCGCCCTGGGGAGACCCCCCTGCAGTGCTGCGTCCAGCTCTGGAGCCCTCGGCACAGGAGAGACATGGACCTGTTGGAGCAGGGCCAGAGGAGGCCACAAAAATGGTCAGAGGGCTGGAACAGCTCTGCTGGGAGGACAGGCTGGGAGAGCTGGGGTTGGAGAAGCCCAGAAGCCTGCAAAAGAGAAGGCTCTGGGGAGACCTTATTGCAGCTGCCAGTGCTTATAGGGAGCTTCTAAGAAAGATGGGGACAGACTTTTTAGCAGGGCCTGTTGCAATAGGACAAGGGTAACAGTTTTAAACTAAAAGAGGGTAGATTCAGACTAGATCTAAGGAAGAAATGTTTCACAATGAGGGAGGTGAAACCCTGGCCCAGGTTGCCCAGAGAGGTGGTCGATGCCTCATCCCTGGGAACATCCCAGGTCAGGTTGGACAGGGCTCTGAGCAACCTGCTCTAGTTGAAGATGTACCTGCTCAGTGCAGGGGGGTCAGACAAGATGGCCTTGAAAGGTCCCTCCCAACACAAAGATTCTATGATGCATACAATTTTTGTTTTACAAAAGAAAGCCATTTCCTACTCACAAGCCTGAATTAAAACCAGACTCAGCAACTTGCAAGGATACTTAAACATGGTAAATGTCACAGGACTCACTATTTTTACTGGCCATTTTTATTTAACAGCTCAGAGCAATAAGCAGCAGTTAACTGACTTCACACAGACAATTTCAGTATCAGGGAAGTGACCTTTTGATCTTTCCCTCTACTATCAACATGTTCAAACACTTACTGGAAACCTTCCTTTGCTAATTCTGTTTTATGGCCACGACTCTCACCTTCTCCTCCAATCATAAACAAGATTTTTCTGAACACATGCATGTGTATGCCAATACATTTTTCAACTACTCCGAGTACTTCACAGTATCATGAAAAGATCCACTACGTAAAGACTACATTCCCCATTATAAATAATAAAACGCACCAGTTTGCAACACAGCTCAAACATTATGATATATTCAAACCTTTTGAAGAGCTCCAGATTTTTAAATACCTATGTCCAGTGTTTTGGATATTACAAAGGGAGTTAAGACGACATGCTTCAAACAATTAAATCACACTGCTAGGAGATGTTTCTGAATCTTAAGATTAGATATTTAAGCCTAGACACAAGTTGTCCAGTCCATTCTACTCCTCTCTTTACTAGCTTTTGGTAACAAAACCAACAGCTGGCAGAGAGTTACTTTTACACACGCGCTTGCAAATCCAGCAGCTAGACAGGACACAGATTTAACAACAGAGTACTAAAATACCAAAAGAAATTGCCATATTTTTCTGATAAAGAATCAGGCATTGAGTAGTTCTATAATTACAAAAGTAAACACAACAGAAAAGCAGGATAATTCATCTTGCCTTAAAATGTGGTAACAACTGGCCCTCTGCTTTCATTTTGCATAGTAAAACCCAAGAGGGTTGAAACTTAACAGTGCTCAGATCCACTTACATACACAAATGATAGCAGCAACAATTAATCTCACATCAGCCCCACGAAATTAAAGAAAACTTAGAGGAGAATAGCATCACCAAACTTTCAGGCTCGCTCACATCATTCTCATAGGTCAGACTAACAAACAGATTCAACCTTTTTCATTGTTTCTGAAAACCATACTGCATTGCCTTTTATGCACTAGTCATAGAAGAGCTCTTTGTATTATTTATGTCTTTAATGAATTCTTGAGACAGTCATGAAGCTAAGCTTTTAAAAATAAGAAACCTTGATTCCTGTGCACAGATTACTAAGTACCTACATTTCTGTTGACAGAAATGGGAAGCTACCTAGTAGCCCATTTCTGAAAATAATGCCATTACCTTATCACTCATTTATGGCTTCCCAGTCTCGCTCACCTTTAATATCTAGTGGTTTCAATAAATCGTATTCTCCTATCTGGCATAGACATACTCTGAAAGGTTTGCCAACCCACAGAATAGTGTCCCTCATAACTGGCTTCAAACAGATACAGAAACAGCAATATGGGTTTCTGCCCTGTTCACACGTACCCACTGTACCAGCTACTGTCAGGAAGGGTAGCTAAAATGCCGCAAAGATCTATTTGTAACATAATATTAATGATTTCAGATAGGATAATTTGTCTTCCATTTATGTAACTGTTACAGCTCAGTGCCCGCAAAGAGACATTAGGACTGCTACCTTCTTCTCCCAGCACCATGCTGTACACTTTCTCAACTCTAGCTCTCATATGACAAGGAATGGTAGTAAGGGCAGAAAAGGTTCCATTAGTTCCTGGTTTATGATTATCAAGGCATCTTTTCCTCAATACATGGTTTAAATAACTCATTCCTGGCTCCAGCTATTAACTGTTTTCTCTCCTCCGAGTTCCTCAACACCTCTTATGGCAATTCTCAGGCAAAATTAAATGTCTGGTGACACTTACACCACTCTTCTCACCAGAGCACTCATTTAACTGATTAGAAAACAATTCTGTTAAGGTGAAACAGGCTATGTCCCACTTGAGTTCTGCTGAGCTGCTTATGTAGAATTTACAACAGAAGTAGATAAACTAACCATTAAAATGAGCAAGGTGATATGATTTTTAAATGTAAACACCTAGTCTCAAGAGCAACAAAACCATGCATCTCCTTCCATACAGTACCAAGGCTGTTTGGTAAATTTGTGCTTTAAAAATAGCTTCTATATTACCAATTTTGAAACCTCCTATTCCTAGAATCAGCCTGTTATTTGAACGCTGTTCAAAACTAATTCAGTTTCTGTACATGCTCTAAATCCTGCCAGATCCACCATCGCTCACCCAGGCTGCCCCTTACTGTCTCTTCCACTTCTGCAAATTATGGACCATAAAATAGGCATGTCCTTCACCTTGGTAGCTGGTAACAAGAAGCAAACTTTGCCCATGTTTAGGACTGTACACTCACTTTCTTCCTTCTACAGGTCTCCAGGGCTCAAGTCTTTCAGTTATACAAAACCTTACAACTCAGGTTTATAGTGTTTTGATCAAGGAGTTTAAATACGATAACAGTGAATCAAGAGCAGCTTACCATTATTGTTCCTCCCGTCTGGGTTCGTAGAGGTTTCAAAACTTTTCTCTGAACAACAAAATTGGGAAGAAATGCAACTGGTGGAATTTCTGTTATTGTAGCCACAACAAATGACCACTACAAGGGGAAGGAAAAAAAAAAAAAAGAGTTCCAATTAAGGTAGCCTGTCTTAATGACAACATTTAGATCTCTGATCAGAGAAGGTCATAGGTCCTTTGCAAGATTTTTAATATTTTTAGATGGAGGTGACCACAACAGTCCTTATTTGTAACCTCCAAATAGGTTCGTCCTCAATTTGTTAACTATGATAATCATCACTTTCAATCACCATCACTAGGTTTTGCAGATTTTAGTATCAAATGGTACTAGATCAGCAATTTTTCAGCAAGCTAGTATTTCAGAAAATCTAATATTCCTGGGATTGGGAGGGAGAATTGTAAAATGTCCTTCAGTAATATTAATAGCAAGCTAAGCTTCATATATTGTTCAAACCTAAAATATCTTCTCCTGTGTCAAGTCAAAAGGATATACCAAGGAGAAAGGAAAAACAAAGAAACAACTCAATTAAAAAGTTCAAATACTTAAGTGAACACACAGTGCAAATCTTAGCATGGAAAACTGATTAAAATTTATTTAGCATACTAAACACTTCTGGAAAATGTTTCAAGGAAACATTTTGTTAAAAAGTCATATCATCAAGAATATGATTTGCAGGTTGGAACACAAAATATTTGCAATATGTAAATGCTTTTTTTTGCAAACACAAATAGAGTGCTTCAAAGAACTTCTACTAACATTGCTACCAGCGATAATGCTTCTAAATATAGTTCAAAGCCTAAGTCACAAGCAAGAATATACCTCTTCATCCAATACTGAAACATTCAGGTACCGAGAATTATGAATTTGACACCCTGAACGAAGATTCTGAATCGATCCTATTTTCTTTAACACTAGGAAATTTAACTAGATTCAGTTCATTTGTTGCCCGAGCACTGTTAGCTGTCGGTTTACAAATGATAGGATGTACAAGGGGTCAATTTTAACCAGAGACAATCACATTTCAGGGTACTCTGATATTCAAAAAAACTTAAGCTACTTTGGCTTCCCAGTAATCAATGTTTCAACTACAAAGTAATATTGGGTTCACAAAGTTGTTAAGTACTAACTATATTTTGTCAATAGTTCATTTTAAGCTCTTAATACTTTTACATTTGTAAGGTATTATTCTGTTACCATACTATCAGCTCTCCATCGTTAACAAAGTGCTTTAATTATTTTGTAATACAGTCAATCTTGATAATGTCCTTTTGAAAGATATTTCAGCTTTTAAAGAAGCATAATGTAAAAAACTACATTCCATCCTATTGTTCTGAAATGGAACTGAAAAGGTCACATTTGGATAAAATAAATTTTGATCTCAAATGTGAACAATGATCACAACATTTCTGAAAATTTTAACACAGTTTAAAAACATTTTTAATCTTGACAGGAAGAAGCAGGAGCAATAAAGACTCAAATCAACACATACGCTTCTGCAGGTTTTTAAGTGAATGCAAGAAATCCATACATGGTACGAGCAAAGAGAAAGCAAAACTTTCTATTCACAGCTGAGGACATTTACAGAACAGGGCCAAGCCCAAAGACATTCACTGACACAGACTTAGTCCTTTACTGTGTCTACGTAATTCCTAACATACAGGAGAAAGTTATTTGACTGTGAGGAAAGTCTTGAGGTTCAAGGATGCAGCTATAGTCTAATGAAAATGCTTCTCAAAAGACACCACTATAGTAATTGAGAAATATACTGCCTCAAACTGTGGACAGTTTTGCACTTTTTTTCCTGCCATGAGCTAATTTTGTTTTCCAACATTTCCTGCAGGACAGCTATGTATATATTCTGAAAAGAAATCAAAAGGAATTGGTTTATGTGATAGTATACTGTGTCATATTGTAAAAGTAAAATATTATTTCAAATAGATGAGGACTACATTAATTACATTTTCCAGGCTGTCAGTTGGCTTCCACAACACAAGTCTTCACACATACTAGTTTCCTTTGCTAGAGAATGAACCCTTCAAATTTTGTGTTTGTTTTGGTTTCTGTTTGTTTTGTTGTTTTTTTATCACTATTTTTTGCATTCAAATTGCATATATCAGAATAATATCAGTTACTATTTCTTTTGGTAGATACTTGCTCTCGCTCAGCCATTCAAGTTACTGATTCGCTGGTAAAGTTTTGGTTTATGTAACTTAATAGAAGTTAAAACTTGGTCTAGAGTCAGGGAAGAGTAATAATCATACATAAACACTATTCAATAACATGTCTTCACTTATCTTTTTTTAGTTATGAACTCCATTTAACTCTTCCTTTATTTATATTGCTAATATCATAAGATTTTTAAAATTATTTACCTTCCTGTGTTTTGGATAAATAATTAAATGCATGAATTTAAGTTTCAATTTTTTAAAATTTCACTCCTTTTCTTAAGACAAGTAAAGAAGTCAGGTTAACCCCTAACCAGGTATATTTTCCTTCAATACATGCCTCCTAACAAATTAACTGCTAGGCAGCATCATTAAACGTGGTTAAGTGTAACACTATACCAAGATGTTAGATCAAAAAAAAAAAAAAACAACAACCCCAAACCAAAACTGAAACAAACAAACAAAATTTCAAGAGTTCTTGATTTTACTTGCTTAAGCCCAAACTCTGTAACATATACATTTAATGAGGAGATTCTTGCAGGACTTTACTTATGAAGTATCATTACTATTAACATTAAGAAAAACTCTTCTTAGTAAAGTTAAATGACTTTACAAGTTATTTCAAATTCTTAGTGTTCAAGGACTAAAAGTTAAACTGAAAAATTAATATTAGGAAGATAAAGCTAAAGCAGTTGCTTTTATGCTGATACATCCTGGATTAATACAAACAGCACACTGGTGATCAAAACCAACCTCTGATGTACTGCCTTTTATGTTATGCATTCATTGCATTCCAGCATTTTAAAATAGCCAACACCGCATCAAATGTTTTAAAAAATATGCAATTTTGTTCTTTAATATCTAAATTTAAAACTGTGTCTAAATCTTTGATAAGTTCCTGGAGCTAGTCCCAGCTTCAAGGGAAAATTCATGGACTTACAAATCCAACACCCAGCGACTAACATGCTTTTATATTTAGAAGCTTGCCTGGGACAAAGCTATTTGGGTCCATCTTAAACAGATAAAGAAAGTATGGTTTTAGCTTGAATTAACGTAAGATAAAATCATAAAGGAGAGTAGGAAGCTTGTAATTTTCACAAAAGTTTCTAGATCAAGGTATAAACACACTATTATCATTAGGAATAAGATCCTGCACTGGTAGAAACTGATGATAACCAGGTGCTACTCCCAAGAAAACCAACCAGCCAAAAAATAAATTTTGGCTGTGCATCAGCCTACCAACCAATGAGTTGGAAACATTAAAAGGAAAGAAAGAAATGACTGTTAACCAAATGCTACCTTCTCCTTTTCTTTAAGAGGTCTCACAGTTACTTTACCTGCCAAGAATGCCCTAGAGCATTCACATCACGGTGTAAATACTGAAACCTGTCAGACCTTGTTCCTCAAGACTGAGTATTGTCGTTCAGTGTTCTCTCCAAGCATATTCAAATATCATTACTTTTAAAATAACATTTTTATATATTCCAACAGACCTTTACCCAATACATTAACATTTACATGAAAATTTAGGTGAAGAGGATCAAATTCGTTGTGATTCCGAAACTCTCAGGACTTTTTAAATAAACATTTTACAGGAAACCACTAGCCTTCATAAATTTTTCTCCAATGAAGTTTGAAAAAATTGAGCAAGGAAAAAGCACAATGTAGGAAGCCAAGAGAGACAACAGATGACAGAACAAGAACTGCATGAACTGAGGAATTGGATAGGGGAATTTTAAGCACTTCTGAAGGTGCCCATTTTATCCAAACCAAACCCACACATTTTCAGCTGCCGAGTCACCTGTGGGCACTAACACAATGCACACAGCCCACGATGCACTCTGTGCTGTTTTACCTGAACACCTCAAAGAGCCAGAAGCCGCACAGGCTGAACTGATTCTTTTATGGGCCTGCTTCTACTGCCTTCATCCCCAGGAGCCCTGCCTCCTTCCCCGCGCACGCTGCCGACACCACCACTTGAGAGAGAGGCAGGTACCTCTGGTCTCTTGGCAGATGCACTTGCGTGACCGGGCAAGAGTCAAAGCACACAAGCACTTGAGCACCAGAAAACAGCCCCTATAATCAAATCAATCCACTTTCCACTAGGCATAAAAATTTACATTTCTAATACAATTATTAACTTTTTATTTTTAAACCTATGTAATTTGCACACATATAAAGCGGATTAAAATGTATAAGTTCCATTGATCGATCATCTGTTTCAGATCACTTTCAGAAGAGCACGTTTTGCATTCCACTGACGCACAAGCATTATCCTCATCATTCGCGTTTCAGTACTCACTCACCTGCTACCATAGAGCCTCTCATAGATAGAAATGGTTCAAGTGATAGACTTATATGGTCTGAAACTAGCTTTAACCTCTCCTTACAAAATTTCAGAATGCCGATACGCAGGAAATTCATTATTTTACATAACACTAGAAAAAGGCAGTAAGTGGAAAACTACTGCAAGCAAGGATTAACCAAAGTCCAGTCGTTACCTTAGAGACCTAAATTCTTCAAAGGAATAACTGAGGGGAAATCACCTTAATTCAAAAGGCCAAATTTTGTTCTAAGGACTAGTCATGTTACCTAAAGCAGGGCAACAGGGAGATCCCTCCTTCCAACACAGCACTGCTTGATCTACTTTGTGCATACCATTTTGTTTCTCTTCGACCAGCCTCCAGCCAACTTCTTCAGCTGCTGCTAAGATACCAACCACCACCTCTTCTTGCAAGTGTATGGAATTTCCTACCAGATTCATGCCCAAATTTTAAAAGAAGAATACTCAAGTGATCCATTATTTTAAGACACCTACGCATTCCCAGAAACGCAAGCACCTCTGCAGTCTTCAGAGCTGGTCTAACAACAAACTATGCCATTTATTGGTAGATCTGTGTTTGTCTGGATTTAAAAAAAAAAAAAAAAAGCACAGCAGACTTTGGATAAAGCAATACAGAGGATACCTAGGGCCTTTTTCTTTCTAGCCACGTTATTTTTCATTTGCAACTGAGCACTTTTATCTTCACTGTTTGGCAGGCATTTGCTGGCATGACCAATACAACATCTTCCAGTTTCTACAGTTGCAGAAAATACTCTCTCAAGAAAAGGGGAGTAAGAGATACACAGTTAATCACATCTGAATGCACACAACAGCACAGGTTTTGAACACCAAGGCACATGTTATACAGACAATTCCCTGTGAAGCCATCCTGTAGGTACTAAAAATACTATTATAGTATTCCAAATATGCACATTACACCCTGCTTCAAAGAAGTGATTCAGTAAAAAGAGGTGGGTAGTTCTATGGAATTAAAACCTCAATATCAAGAATAGCTGCAATAAAATCAAATCTAACGATGTATGAAATTGCATGTAACTCTATAGCACTGAATGAAGAAGCATAAGAGAACTCAGAAAAGGAGTAAGAGTGAAAAAAGTTCACACAAATAATGGAAAAATTATAGAAGTAATTACATAGAAAAATTAAACATTCCAGAAATAGCAATACAAGGACTTGTTCACTGTAGAAGGGCAACAGATGACTCAACGTCTTTTGAATTATGAAACAGAAAATTATTTCTAACACAAATCCTTTTTATGGCCTCCAAGTAAAGAGTTGCAAAATAAAAGCAATGTCATGTGCGCTCACAAAGCAATCCTTGTGTTAAAAAAATCCAATGAAGTACTCCATTTTAGTGCTTTCCAATATATTTTCAATTTCAGAACCATATTTTACTAGAGTAAATAAAAACTTACACTTTTGAAGACTAAAACCCTGGTACTACAAAGAATATCATTTGCACATCAAACATTAACATTTTCCTAATGTTCATTTAACTTTGCTGAAACATCATTTCGGGTCACCTATATAACATGGTAGACTCTCTTTCCACTCCACCCCTCTACAGTGTGACTTGCCTACTATTTCTATCTTTTTCTTTCAGTATTCTCAATGACAATGTTGAATTAAAAATATACCATTCTATAATCTGTAGAAGTCAATTCCATAATAAATCTAGTAGAGTATCTGTTGCCCTTGACACTAATTATAGAGAGTTGGCTTGAAAAACATGTTAACAAGTACAGCACCTTTAATCTATTAAGGTAGCGCCTTGTGTGAACAACCAAGAGATCTTCATCAGTAGCTTCCCGTGCCTGTACGATCAAGTCATCTGCAATTAGTTTTTCTTCTGAAACAGGAGAGAAATAACAATTGGCATCGTATACCATTGCTTAACTTCCCATATTCCACCCTGCCAAAGAAGCTACTTCGACCTTGATGTAATAATTTAATCTGTAATGTAAATCGCTGAAACAACTTTTGTTTACTTGGCATTTACAGATTTTCCAAATACATACCTTCGACACGCGTAAGCTATTAAGTTAGTGTGTATAGGACAGACATTGTTTACAGAAAGTTTTCAGCATGTCTTCATGGTAACTTCTTGTTTAAACTAAAAGACAAGACAGGTAGTGACAGAGGATAGACAAAGACAAAAGAATTTGTACAGTCTAGGGCTTGATACACTGGGGAAGTCTTGGTGCTCGTACCATCAGATATTCACCACTCTTTGACATGCTTTAAGAAATTCCACGTTTGATACTAGTATTTAATTCCCTAAATCAAAGGAGAACAAAAATCAAAACTCTAAACAAAATAGTTGCTTGGATGTTCATGGAAGCAAATGCTTACACTTAATTTGGATATTTCTGTCACACTCCTACCTCCACTTAATTTCAGGAGATACCAATGACCATCTATTAATTCTTCACCTTAGAGGCCAAAAGACGGTTTATTTAAAAACCTAGTTTTCTAAGAACAAGTTATAAAATATCATTCCAAGATTTAAGAATGTGATCAAAGATAATACGTTCGAAGGCACAAATCTGGATATACTTGCCAGAAAGTTCAAGTAGGAGACAAGTAAAAAAGCTGAGCAGTGCAGAAAAAACAATGTTGCTTTGCATGTGATCACCATAAACAACAAATACAAGGCACCACGCTGATCCTCCCAGACAAATTTTGGTATTTAATTGCTGCATGGCTGCAGCCTTCCAAGACTGTACCTCTTCTCCAATTTTATACTTGGAGGAGGAAGAAAACAATTCACAAATATGAGAGTTTTTGTTCTGAAGTGTTATACAAGAACAGCACCTGCAACAATATTTGTTTTGGCAAGCTTATGTTTCTCCTGACTGAGGCTTAAGAAACACTTCATTCACGCACTGGTGTCAGACAGAAAGCCAAACTGCTAACAGTTTCATTCTTGAGGAAGGAGAAGATAAGCGTACAAAGATTTTCACTGGTGATTTTCTAGAGGATGATAGGGAACAGTGTAGGTCAGCTGTTGCCAGGAGTTGCTAGAGCCAGAGAAAACCAGGAAGGCCCTGGGGTATCCTGTGGCTTCTTTCTGCTTTACAAAGCAAGGAGAGTAAAACGACTGGGAAAACTAATTTTCTGTGAAAGACTGGGAGTGAAGAGTGGCCACTTCACAGGGAAGAGAGATAGAGGACAAGACTTTTCACAGAGAAGAGGCAGAAAGGCAAAGGTTTTGATTAATTAAGAAAATGGTCATGAAACCCAAGACTTAATTATTTAAGGTTGTTAGAGGGAAGATCCAAAACTCAGCTACTAAATGGAATTAGTGTTAGAATTCATTTAATCTCATTTAAATGAATACAAGACAGCCTAAAGTCAGAAGGGCAATGCTTAACTGCAAAAGATCATCAGTTGAAGGAGTCATTAGGACCACATAAATGGAAGAGACCTGTCTCATGGACAACCACTGCCTTGGCAAGAGAAAAAGCTTTTTTTTTTTTTTTTTTCCAAACTTTAGATGAAGAGATGCCAAGATTTTATAGGCCCTGACCCTAACTTTGGTTTTTACATTTGTATTTCCTTAATGTATTTCTGCCTATATCTTCCAATTTGTTTACATAGCAATAACGAGCACCATCACAAAAAGCCCTGCCTGTCACCAGAGGCGTCTCAACATTCTTCCCAAACATTATCAGAATAATACCATGAGGTTCATAAAGAAAGGATTTATAGAAGCTGCACTTCAGCCCAAAAAGCACATTTGCCAGTAGATCGTCCGCAGTCCGAGCTGAATAACTAAGTTACACCCCGCAGCAAGCCGGTCATTAGCACCTGTAGTTTCACAAGCCACAAGGAATGCCCCAGTTCTTGTCGCACCAGGTGTAAAGCAATAGAAGCGCAGGGCTATAGGAAGCTACACACAGTACTCCCAAACTGCAATTCAGGTCTTGCAAGCCAAACCATTTGTAAGCTTGCACCTAACATAGGAAGGATTTCCCGTGCATTGCTACAGAAGTGAAGTCTGTGTTCTGTTTTAGATCCAGGCTTGGTCTTCAGAAGAAAGATGACACTGAAACTGCAAACAGCACCTGTCCTCAAGAGGAAACTTAATGGAAATCTTGTTCTCATACATTAATCTAGAACTGAAAGATAGTGTTTGAATCATTAACAATCTGTTGAGTATCAAAACACGGCACACTGAGCTATGGCCACAAGGCTTCATCATTCTGCACCTAACTCGGGCTAGCCTGAAAGCCAAGATTCTGGTGCTCACTTCAGAGGCGGAAACAGCTCTCAAATATCCCACATGAACATTTGTTGTAAAGGCCAAGCAATGAAATCCTGCTCACTTCATCCTTTCATTCAAATTGCAAAGATAAAAAACATTTCAAGATGGTGTAAGACACTGCTATGCTCATGTTTCTCCTTACTCCCTTTTACTCAGCCTTGTAATGCTCTGGGACAGACTGGAATGAACAAAACCAGTTACTCTGACTAGTATTATTCACGCCTCTGGGGAAAAGCAAATCATTTAATGAGCTTGAATTTCCAATCACATTTCACGAGTTTTAGTCTGCACAAGACACCATGACTGAGACAAAACCAAAACTGGGGTTACTTAGTGGAGCGGGCTAGAACATACATTTTCAAAGGACTGTGAAACAAACCTTTGTATTGAAAAGCCCTGTTGTAGGATGTTTGCTCTAATATTACAATTTCATCTTTTAAATATTTAATAGGCAAAATCTTCAACAATGCGTAACACATGACAACGATCTCACCTCAGAAATCCTCCAATCAATTTAACTTGCTAAGATTTAAGTCTGCAAATATATAAAAATACTAAAGTACTCCAAGTATGATTAAAGAGCATAGCTTAAATCTACATGATGAGCAATGACGATGTACAGTTGCTATTACATTGGCAGTTAACATAAGTCTGCACTAACTACATAATTTCTCTTAGCTTTTGCACAAATGTTGGTGTAAGAGGTACCGTCTGTTATTTTACCTTTCAGGAAATTGATTACTTTTCCCCATTTCCCTGCATCAAATGGATGCAGCTTCTCGAGTCCCATGAACGTGATGTTGTAGTCTGGAGAATATACGATAGGCCAGCATGCTGATGCAGCATCCTCATATAGTTCCGTTCTGTGAGGCCTTGAAAAGCAAGAACAACAAACCAGTCACCGTTTTCAGCTACTGTTTACAAAGTCAAATGTTTTTCACTAAATTTCCAAGTTACAAATTAAAGTCCATATTAATACCAACTTTACATTAGGGATGGTTCCTGACGATGCCACTTCCCATGGAAAACGCTTGGTCATTTAACTGCTCTTCAATGGTAGGGTCAGGGAGAGTAACATCTCTCACTTCCAACCAGTACAGTTAAACTCTTGAACTAACCAGTAGCAGGGAAAGAAAGAATAACTGAAGACTGCAGAATGTACATTAATGAATTACGCATATGAAGTTCATTACAGGCATTTAACTAATGGAAACATTTACTTCTCTCCCCTCGTCTTTCCAAGTCCATTGAGCCAAACCTCTATTTTAGAAGGTGCACCTGGTTTTACAGACAACATAACCTTCAACAGGCACCTTACTAGAACCACATTTTAAAGTCTGTGTTAAAACACAATTGAAAAAAAAACAAACCACAGTGCTCCTACACCTGATGCTTCTAACATTACAGGGTTGACAAGATTTCTAGGACACTTTCCTAGGAGCAACAGATTATTTTGTGACCAGCTCAGCAAAAGTAGAGATTTGGTTTTGTATTTGTGTAGCACACAACCACAGGTCGTACTCCCAACGCTAGATCCCATGCCTGTAACCCTTAACGGACACTTTCCTCTACCCGGCCTCCAAATTCTTGGATTCTCCACGACTCAACAGCACAGTCGACTCAGAACAGCTATCACTGCTGTGCTCTGCACCAACAAACGCGCACGCCGGGTACCCGGTGAACACCTGCGTGCGCACACGGGTCAAGAGGCAGGCCGAGCCCGAGAGGCGATGGATGCCCTGTTCGCACTCAGCCTTTGCCCCCCGCCTCTGCCCCAAACCCTGCGTTTCCAAGTTATGCTGAGACATCTTCCCTCCCCGAAATTCAGCTGAAGTTCGCAAAAGGCTTCACAACTTACAGAAGGGTCCTTTGTCAGGTGAACAATACAAACAGAAAAACCCTTATTTCCGGCCGAAATATGCTCAAACCCACCCTTTTAAAGCCAGTTAAAAACAAACAAAAGCCCCAAACACAACGACAATAACGGGTTTTCACCGACCCCCCCGCCACCCACTGACAGTGCTCCCTG